TGACTAGAGCACAGAGGCCTGTGGTAATCAGGGTGGACTTCCCATAGGAGGTGGCGCAGGGACTGGCCCTGGAGGGCAGATGAGGTTGCTCAGAGGCCTGGCGGGAGGGGTGTCTGTGTCCAGAAACCCCTGGAGCTCAGCCCCTCCGCCCCCCACCCCCAGGCCTCCTGCTGCCTTGGCGCTGGCTGGCCGTGGCCGGGGAGGGCCCGGTGGTCGTCATGGTCCTGCTGCTCAGCTTCATGCCCAGCTCGCCGCGCTTCCTCCTCTCGCGCGGCCGGGACTCGGAGGCGCTGCAGGCGCTGGCCTGGCTGCGCGGGGCCGACGCCGACATCTGCCGGGAGTTCCAGCAGATCCAGGACAACGTCCAGAGACAGGTGTGGGGCGGGGGGAGTGCCCAGCCCGCCCCCGGTGCTCCCAGCTGTGTGTGACTGTGGCCTCTCCGAGCCTCGCTTTTCCTGGGAAACCGGGACGCCTGTGTCGCCACCTCCAGATGTCACGGCCCGACCCCGAGCTCCGGCCGGCAGGAGCCCGCCTTGGCCCACCACTGCCCCAGGAGCCTAGCGTCCGGGCGGGGTCCCCGAGCCCATCCCCTGGCCCGGGCTGTTTTCCGGAGAGGGAGGGAGTCTCTGCCCCACTCCGTGCAGTCCGGGACAGGGCGGCGCCTGCTGGGGGGTGGGCCCAGCCCCCGCAGCCCCCCGCAGCCCCCCTCAGCCCCCCTCAGCCCCCCTCAGCGGCGGCCTTGTGTCTGCAGAGCAGCCGCATGTCGTGGGCCGAGGCCCGGGACCCCCGCATGTACCGGCCGGTCGCCATCGCCGTGCTCATGCGCTTCCTGCAGCAGCTGACGGGCATCACGCCCGTGCTGGTCTACCTGCAGCCCATCTTCAACAGCACCGCCGTGCTGCTGGTGAGGGCCCCCGCGACGCGCGCAGGGGGCGGGGCGTAGGCACGGGGGCGTACGCAGGGGTGCGGGGGTGGGCGGGGACTGCGGGGCGGGGGCGTGTCTGGGTCAGGCGCCCGTTCCCCAGCAGCAGTGATCCGGGCAGAGCAGGTGTCTCGCCGTCAGACGCACAGGGTCTCGGAGAAAACCAGTGTGCGCGCACGCAGCCTCGGGGGCCGCGGGCCTCAGGCCAGGGCCCCTGCCTCTCGCTGCTCGGAGCCGCTCCCCCCCCAACCCCGAGACCTCAGCTTCCTCCCCTGCAGAGTGGAGATAACGCGCTCGTGGGCTCGCGGCCTGCCCTGGGCTCAGAGGGAGATGCGATCTGGAGACTAGTGACAGCTGTCCCACCAGTGCCGTCAGGCCTAGGCTCCTGGAGGCCGGGGCAGGCGGCCAGGCCAAGTGCCCGTGCTCGGTGGGGGTGGACAACGGGGAGGAGGGCTGGGAGCAGCAGGCCAGGGTCCCTCAGCCCCGGGCTCCCCCCCGCAGCCTCCTGAGGAGGACGCGGCCATCGTAGGGGCCGTGAGGCTCTTGTCGGTGCTCATCGCGGCCCTCACCATGGACCTGGCCGGCCGCAAGGCCCTGCTCTTCGTCTCAGGTGGGTCCCGCCGCCGCCGCCGCCCCCTCCCCCTCCAGGCGGGTGCCACGTGGCTGGGAGCTCCGGGGGTCCCCGGGTCTGACCTGCCCCCCGGCACCCGGCACAGGCCCGGCGCGCAGGCCGCCCGGGAAGGTGTGCTGGGGCTCCTGGGGGGGAGCGGCGCTGACGTGACCCGGGGAGGGGGTGGGGGACGCAGCGGGAGCCTGCGCCCTGCGCGAGTGGCCTGTCGGCCGCCCAGGCGAGGACCGGGCCACACGGGGCACGGGGCACTGAAGGGCTTGAGGAGCAGCTGGCTCACAGGGCCGCGGCCCGAGGGCCGCCCGTCTGTCCACAGGCTCCGTCATGTTCTGCGCCAACCTGACGCTGGGGCTGTACGTGCACCTGGGCCCCAAGGCACCGACCCCGAACATCACCGTGGGCCTCGAGAGCGCACCCCTGGGGGACACGGAGCAGCCGCTGGCCGCGCCCACCAGCCCCCTCACCCTGGTGCCCCTGCTGGCCACCATGCTCTTCATCATGGGTACGGGGCCAGGCTCGCCACCGGGCGGGCGGGCGGGCAGTGGGGGGCTGTCAGGTGGGTGAGCCGTGGAGGGCGTGGCTGTGGCGGGGCGGGCCCTGCCACCCTGGGCGGCCGGGGAGGGCTCTCTCAGCGGCCCCGTGTCCCGCCCTGCGCAGGCTACGCCATGGGCTGGGGGCCCATCACCTGGCTGCTGATGTCGGAGATCCTGCCTCTGCGGGCCCGCGGCGCCGCCTCGGGGCTCTGCGTGCTGGTCAGCTGGCTCACGGCCTTCGCCCTCACTAAGTCCTTCCTGCTGGCGGTGGTGAGTGCCGGGGGCCGTGCTGCTCTTCCCCCTCCCGCCCTCCCAGAGGCTGGTGCACGCCCTCCACACGGAGGCACGCGCAGCTCAGGCTCGCTGGTGACAGCGAGCCGGGGAACGGTTCTGAGAAGTCAGCTGACCTCCCAGGCTGGGAAGTCACGCCCACTGGCACAGCCGCCCTCCAGGGCAGCTGGGCCTCCTGTCTGGATGGGCAGGTTGGGTCTCAGCCCACACGGGGTGCCCTGCACAACTCCCAGAGAGCCCCCCCCAGGCTGAACCCCACCTCTGGGCCCTAAGCCCAGTAGCCAATGGATCTCTGAGCCCTGGGTCCCAGTTTGCGGGCAGGAGACTCGGACAGGCGGCTAAGGCTGTGCATGCCCAGGGCCGGGCAGGGCTGGGCCCAGCGGGCTGGGTGACGGGGTGTACACAGCCCCTGGAGAGGGGTGCAGATGGGCAGGGAGGGGCGGGCAAGGCTGCCTGAGCTGAGGCTGCGGCCGGGGCCCAGCCAGGGCAGGCTCTGAGTGGAGCCCACTGGGCGGGGAGGCAACCCTAGGCCAGAGGAGGGCTGGGTGCAGACTTCCAGGGCCTCGAGGGCCACCGAGCCCTCTGTCTCCTGCTGGAGGCAGCAGGGAGCCCCAGGCCCTGAGCAGAGGACGGAGCACGGGGCACCCCCAAGGCTGGCGACGGCCAGCAGGGCTGAGGAAGCCTCTGTGGGGGTGGGAGGGCCCACGGCCCCATGTGACCACCCACCGCCTCTCCCCCCCCCCCCCCCCGCCCCCAGAACGCCTTCGGCCTTCAGGTGCCTTTCTACTTCTTCGCCGCCATCTGCCTGGTGAACCTGGTGTTCACCGGCTGCTGCGTGCCCGAGACCAAGGGCCGGTCGCTGGAGCAGATTGAGGCCTTCTTCCGCACCGGGAGGAGGTCCTTCCTGCGCTAGGCCAGGCCCTGCCCGGAGGGGCCAAACTGCGGCGGCCAGGCCTCCGAGTCAGCCACTGACCTGCACCCGGAGCCCCGGAGGTGGCAGCGACCTGCCCTCGGCCAGACCACGCCCCCCACCACGAGCTCCCTGGTGCAGGACGGCAGCAGCTCCGTCCGGCTGGGCCCCACCGCGGGCGGCCCGAGGTGCCGTTCACACGGCAGCCGAGACCCGCGGACGGACGTGGTGGCCTGCACCGCAGGGGAGCGCCGGGCCCGGACTGTGGGCAAGGCCACGCTGGCCGCCCTGCCCGGCCGGGGGGCCGTGATGAGGACAGAGACTGGGCCAGGGAGTGCGGGGGCGGCGTCCCATCACCCCGCTCCGACCCCTGAGCCACCCCTGAGCGCTGGGCATCGGGGAGAAGGCAGAAATCCACCTCGAGGACTCGCAGAGGCCATGGGCGAGGCGCCGAACTGACCGACACACACTCCTGCCCCAGCCCGGCATTGGGGGGCGGGCTCCCTAGCGCTCCCGCCTGCAGACCGTGTGCCCTATTTATGGAAATAAACTGGAGTTCTGGGGGGGGAGCCCCTGCGAACCAGGCTAGAGCCACGTTGCCAGCGGAGGCCGCCAGGCCTGCTGCCCCGACCCGTCCCCAGTGGGGCAGACAGGCGCTGCCCGACAGCCCCGCCCCTCCCGCAGGGGGACCTCGGGCTGCCCGTGTGGGTGGGCGCCTCCCCCCATGCACTGGAGGCAGAGCACGTGCCAGCGTATAAACTGCCCCTGGGCTTTATTGCTCAAGAGTCAAGGTCAACACAGAGCAAACGGGGACAGGGACCAGGGAGTCCAGACTGGGGGAGGCGGGAGTGGCCCGTCCCCTCGGCCACCGGGACAGTGTTCCTTGCAAGGCAGGACTGCCGCTGAGAGGCAGGGTCGGCCACTGCGGGACGGGCCCGTCAGACGGACCGGGCACCTCGGGCGAGCGGCCCGCCCAGCACCCGCCCCACGCCCTCACGGGGCAAGGAGTGGGCCCTTCTGTCCCACACACCCAGCCCCGCCCCTGCAGCGGGGACACTGGTCAGCAAGTCCCCTGGGGCGGGGGCAGGAAGGCCAGCAGGGGTGGCCCTGAGCCTGCGTCCTGGGCAAGCACGAGCCGAGAGGGCAGGAGGCCCTGCCCCCGGGAGGTAGACAGGTCCTGGTCACAGCACACGCGGGAGGAGACACACACGCCACGCACACACGGCCCTCGGCCCCAGCCCCAGAGGACCCCCCAGGACACGTGTCCTGCCGCCCTGGCCGCACCACAGGGCCCTGAGCTCGGCCCAGGCAACTCCCCGGGTGGCTGCTGCTGACCGGGGCCCACTCCCCAGGGCAGCGCCCGAGGACCGCAGCCTCCAGTGGGGACCAAAGGCCCGTCAGGGAAGCCGTGCCTCGGGTGCGCCCTGGGACTGAGCCCCACCCTGGGGCCCTGCGCCCTGGGGGTGGGGGCAGCAGGTGTCGGGCCCATTTCTGCCAGGCACTGCCAGCCTCAGCTGGGCCCTGTCAGACGTGCCCACCGGCCGAGGGCCAGCCTGGCGGTCAGAGCGGCCAGCGGGCTGAGGCCAGGGGGCAGAAAGGAAGGACAGGTGTGGACGGAGCCTGGGGGAGATGAAGGCGCAGGCCCCAAGGGGGCCGCCCCGGCCCGTACCAGCTCTGCACACTCCCTGCCCTGGCCCCGGCCACCCTCCCCCCCTCCCCCCCACCACCAGCGTGGCGCCTGGGGCGGTGCGGACAGCAGTCTGCCCCGCTGTCCGGAGGCTGGGGCGGGCCTGCAGCCAGCAGGAGCACCCGCGGTGGGTCAAGCTCCCTGCTCCTAACAGGGCTGGGGCGCTGCCTTAGCGCCGGGGCGGGGGTGTGGGGTGCAGGGGCTGGCCCTCACCAGTGTCCCAAAGCGGGAGAGGACGCCCCCACCCGGTGCTCCGGCCGCTGCCAGGGATGCTGGTCCAGGGGCTGCAGGAGCCTCGTGGGAGCGCCGGGGGCGCCCACAGAGCACAGCACACGGCACACAGTCCTCAGGACCCTGCTGCCCTGACGGCAGGGGCCCGAGGAGGGCCGAGGTGGCTTGGCCTGGAGGAGGTGCGCTCTGGCTGAGGCCCCGAGTCGCCGGGGAAGCCCCTCCCGGGCTTTCGGCAGGGCCCCGAACCCCGCCCACTGCGGAAGTCTGGGGGCGCGCCGGAGGTCTGTCCCCAGCCACGCCGGGCGGCCAGGGTCCAGGAGGCTGCCGGTGCAGAGCTGCTGCCCGCCGCGCTCTGCCTCGAGTCCTGCGGCCCAGGTCGCCTGTGGCTCACGCTGCCCATCTCCTCACTGCTGGCCAAGGCCCTCGGTGCCCTCGCCCCGGCGCCTCGGGGCCAGCTCGGGGCCGAGACAGAGACAGGCCGGCGGGAGGGGTCCAGGCTGGGGGCGGGCAGAGAAGCTGGTGGCTCCAGGCAAAAGGTCCTCTTCCAGGCCGCCCTCAGGTCCTGCCGCAGGCCCAGCCCCAAGCGCGCTCACACAGAACCCCGGGGCGGGCCCAGAGCCGCCTCACGCGTCACAGCTCCCCCTCCAGGGTCTCTGCCAGCTTCTCCTCGTCCACCTGCTGCTTCTGCTGCTGGATCCGGGCATAGGAGATGGCGTCGCCCCTGGGGGGAGAGTGGGTGGACGTCACCACGGGGACCGGCCCCAGGCACACAGCCCTCCCAGCCCTGGGGACCGGCCAGTGGCCCTGCCATGACAGCCGGCAGAGCCTCCGGGCCCCTGGTGTCCCCAGAAAGCTGCTGCTAGGGCGGTACGATGCACCCCATCACCTCTGGTGGCAGCACGGGCTGCCGGGGGTAGGGCTCTGCAAGGGAGGGCAGCAGCTGACTGCAGCATGGGCCGGGGCCCGGGGTGGGGGTGGGGGGTGGGGGCACTCCCACGCCACGTCTGCCACCCCGGGCACAGGCTGTGACGAGGCTGAGCCACCTGGAGGCCCCGAGGATCCCCCTGCTCTCACTCCCCAGAGCTGAGCACCCTCAGGAGGCTGGCTGATCACTGACAACCTCTGTGCCTCAGTTTCCACAGCTGGACCCAGGGACCCCCTCAGACCTTCCTCCCTGGGAGGCTCAGGGGCGGGAGGACAGACCCCTCCCGAGGGGGGGGGCCTGGGACGGCAGACGCACTTTTTGCCCAGGGCGGAGAGCCCGTACAGCACGCCGGTGGCGAAGGCGATGGCGTTGCCCAGCAGCGTGGTCAGGGTCAGGCTGATGATGATGGGGACGATGGCCATCCTGGGGGAGAAGCAGGGGTCAAAGGGCACGCCCTCCCCGAGGCCACCCCCACCCCACTCCCAGGCCCCCTTCCCAGACCGCCGGGCGCAGGAAGGGGCCCCAGGATCAGCGGGGACCGTCACGGCCGGGCTTCCCGAGTCCTCCGACACCCAGGAACCTGGCTGCCGACCTCGGCGCACTTTCCAGGGAGACGCCCGAGCACTTCCATGGGTCTGTGTCCAAAAAAGGCTGGACAGCACGAGGCGCTCAGCCCCCGCCACGAGCAGGCAGGCCGGGGACCCTCTGCAGCTGTGGGGGCGGGGGAGTCCCTGTGCTTCTGGAGGCCCAGGCTCCGCCCTGTGGGGCTGGGGCGGGACCTGGGGGGGTGGGGCTCTAGCAGTGGCCCCGAGGGGCTCCCTGAAGCCAGCCCTGGCTCAGCGAGGACGGTCCCGAGGATCACAGCGCAGAAGGCACCGTCTCCTCGCAGGGGTTGTGGCCGGAACGGCTCAGTGCCTGCCCTCGGCAGGTCCCCACTGCGACGTGGCGCCACCTGGCGGCACGTGTCTGCTCGGGCACAAGTGTTCTCGGCTGACCCTGGGTCCCGGGATTTCCAGTGGCAGCACCTGACGCGAACCAAACCAGGAAACCACCAGAAGACGTCCGGCGACTGGAGGACCGCACCGCGGCCGGTCACTTCCGGGAGGAAGCTGCCCAGCCCCCCACGCACACACGCCCACCCGCGCCTCCCCCGCCCCCACACGCCCTGCAGAGGGGAGATAAGACCGCAGGCTGCGCTGGGGCGGAGAGTGGGACCTGAGCAGCCGAATCCTACCCGGATCTCCAATCTGGCTGAACCGCAACCCTTGAACAGCACAGGTTTGGACGGTGCGCGTCCACACGCGTGGATTTTTTCCAGTAAACACGATTTTAATCAGTTTCTTAGCTTTCTTTTTGTTAGAATGCAGTCTATACTGCCGATAACGTACAGAACGCGTCCTAATCGACAGTTTGTGTTATCAATAAAGCTTCCTTCCGGCCAACAGCGCGCTGCCAGCAGGTCAGTTTGGGGGGTCAGAGCTAACCTGGGCTTTGACCTTGGGGGTCGGCGCCCCGAACCCTGTGCTCTTCGAGGGCCAACCGCGGCTGCAGACGCCGCACCGGGGGAGGACCGCAGGGGAAACCTGCCCGAGCGAAACCAGAGGCCGGCACCGGCCAGAGAAAGACCCGCAGTGACCCCGGCGGAGGCCAAGAAGCCTCCCACCCAGAGACACAGGACTAGGGGAGGCGCGGAGACGCCAGCAGGCAGAAAGCAGCCCGGGCCATTTTCAGGAAAGAAAGCGCGACCAGCGGACCCCCTCGCCTCTCGGAGAACAGGCGGAAACGCGGAACGCTGCGGAGCGCTGGGCAGGGCGCAGCCAGGCCCACCGGAGTCTGAGCGGTGGCAGCCGGGGACCCAGCGCCGTGCACCACACGCCGCCCTGAGACGTCGTCGGCAGGAGCACAGGGGCTTTGGCGGGCACGTCCGGCCCGCGGGACGGGGACCACAGCTCAGAGTCAGAAGAGCGTGCCCAGCTGAGGACGTATCCCTCCCACTGAAAGCGATCGTGTGACGCGGTTGTGGCGACACTAAAGTCGTTTCTACGTGATACTGAGTGGAGATAAAGCAGGGAGCAAATTTGCTCATGATGGCAGAAACCGCGTGAGCAGCAGGCTCAGCGGAGCTCCCGCAGACACAGCGGAAGGACGCGCGGACACGTGAGCAGGGGCGGGGCTTCGGGCGGCAGTTTTCCATCTTCCAAATTAGCATTGTTTTTCGTGTTTTCTTTTTTAACAGGGGTTAAAGGACATGTCAAAGGGCACGAGGATATGAGTTTTACTGATTTCTGACAGAGAGAGAGGGAGAGACAGAAACATTGACATGAGACAGAAACACTGGTTGGGCGCCTGCCGTACGCGCCCGCCCAGGGGTCGAACCCACGACCTTTTGGTATACAGGACGACGCTCCAACCCACTGAGCCAGCCAGCCAGGGCGTTCCACATTATTTTTAATGGAGATATGCTACTGCTGGGCTTTTAAAAAGACACTGAAAAACAAAGACCAGGGCAAGGGACACAAAGACGCACAGCGGGTCATCTTCGTGGCTCAGAACGGGGCCCACCTCCCTGCTCTGCCCTGACGGCGGGGGGCCTTGGAAGGGGAAGGAGCCTGAACCGCAAGACCCTTCTCTCCGCCCCTAGGGACGCCCCGACGAAGACGGCGACCAGCCCAGCCCCTACTGCCTGCAGAAGCCACCCAGAGCCTCCCGGGCGCTGCTCCAGGTGCCCCTGAGCGTCAGACGCACGCTGACGCTACTGCACCTGGCGACGCAGACGTGGCGTGCCGCGCCATTGGACAAAGGCCGCGAGGGGCGGAGCGCGGGGGTAGGCGGGCTCTCTGCCCTGCAGCCCGCTCTCCCCTTCCCGCCAGGGCGTGGGGTTGCCGCACTCTGGGAGGCTGCGCGGACGCTGCGCGCACGCGGGTGCACGTGGACGCACCGGACGTGCTGGGTGGTGCGGCTGAGGGGCGGGAACCCGGGCGCCTCTCCTTTCTCCGGGCCGCACGCGACACCGTGAGGCCGTGCCACTCCGGTCTGAGCCGCGTGACAGAGCGGCGGGTCCTAACTTCTAGCGGCTACCAGGTGCGCTCGAAGGTGCGCCGGGGGACCCTCGACCAAGAGGGCCCGGTGCAGCCGCCCCCCGCCCCCTGCCCCAGTGCAGCCGCCCCTCAGGGCCCGAGCAGGCAGGACCTGGGAGCCCTGCGGGCCCGCCCCGCAGCCGCTCACCCGCAGTAGAAGACGGCCTTCTGCCAGGAGCGCAGCCGGTCCACCTTCGCGGCCACCGTGTTGGCGAACTCGACGAACGAGCAGCAGAAGGGCGCCTCGCAGAGCAGCAGGACGAAGGCGTTGGTGCTGCGGGGTAAGCGAGAGGGGCGGCTCTGCGGCTGCGGTCAGCAGCGCCCCCAGCAGCCGGGGCAGCCGTGCCCGGGGCGCGGGGACCAGACAGTGGGTGCAGGCCGGCCTGCCGGCAGACGGGCAACAGGGGGGCTGACACAGCCCCACCCTCGGAAGCCCACGCCTGGGAGCAGCTCAGGGAGCCCTCGGTGCAGCCGGTGTCCAGGCAGGGGACGGCCGAGCTCCGGCAGGTCTGCGTGAGCCCCCAGCCCCCCACGGCTGGGTCTCTCTCCGTCACAGGCCCCGAGCCCTGCCGTCTGCCTGCAGGCCCAGGGCAGAGCACCCTGGGTACCTCATTTGACTGAAGCACGGGCTCAGGGCACCCCGAAAGCCCACCCACGCCTCCCAGAGCAGGAACTCCCAGCACAACTATCAAGGCCCTCGGCCCGACCCCTGGCCAGCCGCCCAACTTGGCCATCACTGGGCTTGGCCAACTCTGTCCACCCGCAGGCCTGGAGCCTCTCCCTTGCCGGTCCAGGTCCCTGCTGCCTCCAGGGGCAAGCCCCCAGGACTCGCCCTGAGGGCGGGACCACAGCCCTCCTCCGCTGCGCCCCCCCAGACCAGGCCTGCGGGGTGCCAGCCGCAGCTGACAGACCAGTTCTCAACCCCCCTTCCCTTCCGACGGGCCCCAGTGACCCTGGCGGGACATGGGCAAGGGTGCCCCCCAGGGCCTCCTAAAGTCTGTCCCTGCACCAACTCCGACCTGCTCCAGGGGGCTGCCCCCGGTGCCGACCCCCAAGCTGGGTTCTCCGGATCCCAGCGCCTGATGGCAACCCCCTCAGGAACCGCCCTCCTCACTCGGTCCTCCGCTGGCCCTGCAGCCTCGGGCACTCCCCAGGGCTCGGCCCAGGGCAGCACGCTTGCTGCTGGCTCTGCAGACCCTGGGCGGGTGTCCACAGCCTGGGCCCTGCCCCCGGTAAAGGCCTCAGCGGGCGTCCCCGGCCCTGGGCCTCACGGGAATTGGGAAAGCCGGGCACGGAGGGCGTGAAGGGGGCGGAGAGCGGCGCGGTGGCTAGAAGGAGCCCGCCGGCAGGCTGGGCCCAGGCCTACTCACATCATCCACACGCCGGCCGCGATGTTCAGAGGGTGGATGGTGACGCAGCTGAAGAGGCCGGAGATGGCGCAGGCTTGAAAGCAAGAGACACGGGCAGGAGTCAGCAGGGAGGAAGGGCCAGTCTCCCCCAGGGCCACCAGAGTCGCCCCTGACACCCCGCGCTCGGCTCTTCTCGAGACTCCCGCAGTCTCCTCTCTGCCCCCCGAGACCAGTGGGGCCAACACGGCCCCCAGGGTCACAGACGAGGTCACAGGCTCAGAGAGGGGGCCGCTCACCCCGGTGCCGCAGCCAGAGCATGGCCGGCTCGGAGCTTGGCCGGAGGCTGCGGGGGCATCGGCCGCCCCGTTCCAGGGCCCTCTGAGCCCCGCCGGAACCAGTCCCCGCCACACGGGGCAGTCCCGCTGCAGGACAGAAAGCCTGTCCGGGGCGGGTGGCCCCGTCCCAGGGCCGGCCACACGTGGAGTCCTCTGACTCAGCAGGCGGGGCTTTTGGTCGGGACGAGGGCTGCTCCCCTCAGAGCAGAGGCCGGGCCCAGCAGCCCCGGCTCTGACCGCCCCGCAGCCCAGCAGCCTCGGCTGGGAGGCTCTCTTCCCCCCTCAGGCCTCCCTCCTGCACGCCGGCCAGGCCCCTGCCCGGCCCACCCAGCCCGCCCGGCCCTGAGACAGCCGGGGTCCCTTTGGGGAGGGGCGTACCCCCTTCTGCCCCGAGAGTGGCTTCTCTGAGGTCCCAAATGGGGGGCTTTGCCCACCCCTCCCAGCTGCACCCGAGGGGCAGGGTCTGCCCCACTCTCCCCCCTCAGCTACCCACAGCCCACAGCTCGGCCTCACCGAGAGTGCCAGGGGCCGGCCCGGGAGGCGGCCCTTGGCCACCAGGTCATTAAACTTGCAGGGCTCCTGTGCACCTGAGCCCCCGCGTGCATGACCTGGAATCCTGCTTTCCCGTGTAACCCTATGCAGTCAGCCAGCGGGGGGGTGGGGGGGGTGGGGGCAGGGCCAGGTGAAGGGAGCCCGGCTGCACCGGGACTCCCCTTGTGTCCCTGGGACCCGCCAACACGACGGTGCACGTCCTGCCTGCCAACAAGGTGGCGCCGGTCCTGGGCCCGTCTCACGTGCATTCGGGTGGCCAGGCACCCAGGGCCACAGATGCCGGAGCCAGCGAGACAGCCCACTCTGCCTGTCTGCAGCACCAGCGCACCTGACGGTGGCCAGCACTGACCCTACCCCACTGTCCTCCCAACGGCCAGCCTTGGGGAGGACCAGGTTCCAGCCCAGCCAGACACACAAGGGCCGGAGTGCGTCCGCTCAAAGTGGGTGGCACCCATGGGGGACTATGAGGTGCCCCATGCCGCCCCCCCCAACGGTCAGGGCCCCTGGGAAGCGCCTCCCCGAAACCCCAGTCTGCTTCTCGCTCTGCCCCGTCCCAGACGGCAGCTGACCCCTGAATGACACAGGGGTCAGGATTGACACCAGCGCAATGGAAAATCTGAGTGTAACTTCTGATCCCCAAAAACTTTCCGGTCATCCCTCCGTGGGGCTGGCTCCAGGCCCCCGCAGACCCCAGACCCCACAGATCTCAGGCCCCTGACCAACAACGCCATGCATGGCACAGTGGCCCTCCTCGCCCACGCACTCCTGGCCTCAGGCCGGAGACATGGCCTCCAGCCGGCAGTTGGCCGGTTGGCTCTGCAGGTGCAAACCCCGGGGGCACCCAGGGCCTCCTGTGTCTGTGCTGAGAAACACCCACGAGTGAGTGGGCCCTCGCAGCTCAGACCTGCTGTTCCATAGGCAGCCCCACCCCCCACACCTGCAGGGGAAACTTGTGGCAGGCTGGGGGCTGGGGCTTCCCCTGCAGCCCCCACACCCTGAGCTCCTGGGGTGACCCCGGGCCCTGCTCTGAGAAGCACAGGAGTGGACGGGATGCCTGGGTGAGCCGGGGGCGGGCAGGATGCAGGCCTCCAGCCCAGCGACGACGGTCCCCTCCTCTCACAGGGACAGGAACGCCATCACTCCCTCCCCCGCCCTCTGCCCCCAGTCTGACCGGCCAGGGACATGGCCAGTCATACCTGAGAAGGTCCTGCCGGGGGCCTGACCTCAGGCCCCCAGTCTCTCCTACAAAGTCAAAACCGTGCTCAAGGGCAGTGCAGGGAGTGGGCACCTCCGGGGGTTGGGGGGAGGGCCTGTCCCACCGCCGCCTCTGGAGAAGGTCAGCGCGGCCCCAGCCCTGCGCCCCGTGCCCCGACCTTCCTCCTTCCACCCACCTGGGAGGGGGACCCCGAATACGGCTTCCTGCCTGCCCCACCCTGCCCTGCCCTGCCGCCGGAGCCCAGCCCTCCAGGCCAGGCGGGCCCTGCTCACACCCTGCGGGCTTCCTGCCAGTGCCCTTTCCAAGGCCCGCGGCGGTGCCCTCGGCCACTCCCGCGGTTGACAGCGCCGAGGGCAGCAGATCACTCAGACTTGCTTGCCGTGGGAAGACCTGCCACGCGATCTCTGTTTTACTTCTGTAGCGGAATGCCTTCCAGTGCACCGCTCCTGTGGGGGCTTGCGCTACAGCGGCCCCGACTTCCCCGACACCGGAGGCAGGGCAAGGCACGGGCAGGGCTGGGGGCAGGAGCAGAGGTGAGACGTGGCCGCGGCAGAGTGGACAGCGGAGGACACGCACTGCCGCCTCCCTCAACGCAGCACGGGGCCCGGGCTTGGGAGTCCCCTCGCGGCACCTGGCCCGCAGGACACGCTGCCCCACGAACAAACAGAGGTGACGGCGGCTGCCGCCCCAGCCCCGCCAAGTCAACAGGTGCCTCTGCCTCGGGGCCAGGCAGGGCCGGGCCTCGCCAGCGGCCTCCGCCAACCCCGGAAAGCCCTGGAGCTGGGGCCGCGCTGCCTGCCCCGGGCTCCGGGAGGCGCGGAGGGACAGAGCCGGGACCCCGCCGAGCCCAGCGCTCCCCGTGGGAGCTCAGGTTCCCTCTTGGATTGTCCCCAGAGCTGCCAGCCAGCCCGGCCCGGAAACCCGGGAGCCTCGGCCGCGGGACGGTAACCATAGCAACCGTCCCGGCGCCGCCGCCGCGTCGCGCGCGGGACCCACGGGACCCACGGACCCCGGCGCCCAGGCCGGCTCCGCGGGGGCGCGCGTGCGCAGGGGACTGCCGGGCCGCCCCTCGCCCCGGCCGGGTACTCACACACGGCCCCCAGCACCCCCGACAGACGACACAGCCAGCGGTACCACCACGTCATGCCCTCCTCCTCCGCGGGCGGCGCGGAGCCGACGGAGGCCGAGGCCGCCCCGCCCGAGCCGCTCATGGCGCCGCAGACCCGCGCAGCCCACCGCCCTCACAAAGGGCTCCGGAGCCGGCCGCGTCGGCCGGCGCGCAGCCTTGTGGGAGAGGCGGCCGCTCTTTTGCATAGGGGCGGGGTCTTTCCTAATAATTAGCATATGGGGCGGGCCCTGTTTATTGACATAGAGGGCGGGGCTCGCTAGGCGGCGAGGATTTGCGCCCGGAGGGCTCGTCCTTATTAGCACAGGGGGCTGGTTTTGGCGGCGCGGGGCGCCCGCCCAATGGGATTAGCATAGGGGCGGGACTTCGCAGAGAATTAATCCCTGCACCGGCGTCAGCGCGCAATCGTGACTCCACGCTCCACTGACCAGCCATGCTGAGCAGTGAGTGGGTCTTCAAGCCCGCTTTGGACTCGTTACGTGGGGAAAACGCCAGTCAGACCGCACGTTCTGTTTATTGATACCCAAAGGGCTTTCCCGAGAGTCCCCCCTCCCACCCACTAACGTTTTGCGCGTCGGAGAAGGTGGTAAAGGCGATAGGATTGGATGGAATTCAAACGGGAAAGCACTCCGGAGCTGTCCAGGTGCTCGTAAATGCCTGGCTCTCTCGGCTCCCTTCCAGAACGGGAAGGAGGCCCCCCACGGCCGACTGAGGGGTGTGCTTGGAGAGGAAGCTAGGGTTGCTGCGCTCTAGACTGGAGTGTCCAGTACTGGCCCCGCAGGCTGGCCTGTGTCTCCAGGAAGTCCTGGCTAAACTCCATCTCAGCCTGGCTGCCCTCTGACTCCCAGTAGAGCGCTTGCTGCCCGCGGAACGTCGTCGTTTTCAGACTGTAGATGTCCCGGATCTGGGAGGAAAGAGGCAGCCCCGAAGGGCCAGCCACCAATGAGAATTAGCTAGCATTCATGAAGCCCTCAGTGGACAAGGAATCCCACACTCACGGTCCCATTTACTCTCTCGCACCAGCCCTATCAGGAAGACAGTCTTCCTCCCCAGGAAACTGAGGCTCAGAGAACTCTCACCACTTCCCCAAGGACACACCGCTGGGGTGCCAGAGCTGGGACTTGAGCCGGGGTCTGTCTGATTCCAGAAGCCAGGCTGCCTCCTCCTCCAGAGGGGCTGATACTTTGCATAGGACGATTCTCCCAGAACACACGCAACCTCACGGGGGAGGGGCTGGCTCCCTCTTCTGGCCAACTTTTATCAGGCTCTAAAACTAGGTACGCTCCAGTCCTGGGCTACCCCAGGGCTGTCTGCGCCAGAGGAGGTCTTTTCTGTTTCCCTTTTGTGGGAAGTTCAGTAAACGTGCTGGTGAGTAAGTGGAGGAAGTGAATCTGTGGGGGTTTTTTTCTCCCATTCTTTCCCTGATTTTGAGGTTTTCGGTCTCAAGTCAAGTCAAAGGTTTTTCTAGCCCAGCCCCCCAGCGCCTGTCCTCAGGGACGGCTCTCCAGAATGACCAAAGGTCAGCCCGTTCCTGCCGTCCTGTCATGGCAGCCTCACCAAGATGTAGCCGGCCCCAGACCCTGCAGTTCCAGCGCCCGCGTCGGTGGCCAGGGCGTGGATGGCGATGCGGGCCCACGGAGCCACGTCGATGAAGATGCGGCAGCCCCCCACAGGCCTCCTATCTGGACTCATCGGTGGGCTCACAATTTCACCCCAGGGTCCAAAGAGCTGCGTGTCGCATTCTGCAGGGGGGAGCAGGTATATGGACTGGGTGTGGGCACTGGGGCCCCCGAAAGACCACTAACTACGACCAGAGGCCGGGGCAGCTCACAGCTGGGGGATGGGGGCAGTCAGGGCCAGGACGCCCAAGCAGAAGCCTCCACTGACTCTCACCTCTGCCACCTCCCACCGTGGGACCCTGGGCAAAGGCTTTACACCCTCTGAGCTTCAGCTCCTTCCTCTTTAAAGTGAAGGTCACAGTAGCAGGCACCGGGTAGGGGAGTTTGTAGGAGGACTCAGCCAAGTCACAGGTGCGAAAGAGCTTATCAGCGCTGAGCCTGGCACAAGGATGGACTCCAACCCGTCGGAGCCCCTCCCACCTGCACCTCCTGGGCTGCCCCTGAGGCAGGCACCTGCGTGCAGGTGGCTGGGTGGTGAGGAGCCACGAGACGGCAGGCAGGCGGCCCCAGACCACGTGGTGCCTGTGCAGCATCAGACCTCCACGGAGGGAGAAGCCCCCTAGTGTCCCACTGCTCACGTGAGGCCTGGGGCGGGGGGACCCAGAAACCTCTGGAGCTGCCTGGGGAAGCCATCTTCAGCGGGCTTGGGCTGTTGGGAGAGGGCGAGCAGGGGGCCCTGGGGTGCCGTCCTCTGCACGAGGTGTGCATGTGTACACATGTGCAAGCATGCACACGCCCTGCTCTGCATGGGGGATGAGACGAGAGGACTGTGGCCCTGGCTGGTGTGGCTCAGTGGATTGAGTGCCGGCCTGTGAACCAAAGGCTTGCTGGTTTGATTCCCAGTTGGGGCAGATGCCTGGGTTGTGGGTCAGGTCCCTAGCAGGGGGCGTGCAAGAGACAACTGATTGATGCTTCTTTCTACCTCCCTTCTCCTCTCTCTAAAAATAAATAAATAATTTAATAACAAAAAAGAGGACTGTGCACGGGAACAGGGCTGGGGGACAGCATCTCACGGAAGGATCTAAAAAGGTCTTGAAGGACATGAGCGCCCGGGCATGGGGCCGCAGTGGCCTGAGGGATGGGGGGGGGATGTGGCTGGAGTGCCCCCCCATCCTGCTGCAGGGCCCCAGAAGGCGGGGACACGTCACACCCTGAGACCCCATGCTGACACTGCATGCAGACTGACCCTGGCCGCTGAGGGGCGGGAATGGGGGTGTCCAGGAAGGTCCCACCTCCTCCTCCTCCTGGGTCAGCCCCGCTCCCTGTCTGCCTCGCCCACGGCCCCAGCCCCGCCAGCCTCAGGTGGTGGGGGCTCCAGTGCCCTGCCGTACCTCCTCCGTGCACGGCTCTCGGGGCGGGCCGGCTGGAGTAGCGCAGCACCACTCCGCCCCCCGGCCGCGAGCGGCGCTGCCTCACCACCAGGGTGTTGGCTCTGGAACTGAACGTCCCGCCGGACAGCTTCTGGCACGTCCTCCTCCACGTGAGCCGGCCCCAAAGCAGCAGCATGTCCCCTAGGGAGTCGGGGTGCAGTGAGGTCAGGCCCCCCCATCCGGTCGGCAGCACCGTGGCACTGGGGTCGATGCATGGTATTTGGGTCTCTGGCCCTCCCGCTGACGCTGACGGGCCGGGGCTCCCGTGGCCCCGGACGTACCGGCGCTGCAGTTGAGGGAGCTCTCGAGGACCTGGAGGGTCACCACCTCTCCCAGCGGCCGCCCGATGGCCACCGCACAGTCCGCCTGCCCGGGGCCTCGCAGGTCAATGGTTCCCGTGGGCTCCAGGAGCTGCCGGCCACAGGGACCTGGGCAGAGAGCAGAGGGCAGGCAGCAGACCACCGGGTTTGGGGAGTGAGGGGGCGGGATCCGGGGCGGGACCGGGCAGGGTCTTCCCACACCGGGGAAGGGGCTGAGCTGGAAGCCTGCTCAGGTCAGGGGTGGGGGCCGCATGGGTGGGATGCCACCATCCGGGGTACAGAGCCGTTTCTGGGCACCCCAGCAAGGGAGGCTGTGTGTAACGGGGTGCCTGGTTTGGGGTCACGGGCCGGGGTCTTACTCTGAAACCTCCGGTTACCTCCCCTGATGATGACAAAAGCGAGCTTGACTTTGGCCAGAGAGGAAAGGGGCCAGCCGTGGGCCTGGCCCGCCGACCCCACCCCTGCAGCCCAGCTGCTCACAGCCCAGCGACCCACACGCTGTGGCCACAGGACAGCCCCCGTGCAGCCCCACAAGGAACCCGTCCCAGTGTCCCCGGTGCAGGTGCCCCTGATACCACCCCCCCTGCAGCCGGCCAGCCCCCTGGACAGGAAGGAACCTACTGGACTCAATGGGGCTTTCCTGGGGCCCCCGCTGGGACCCCCGGGTCCGGGCAGCTGGGGCGAGGAGGCGCCCCCAGGGCTGCGGCCACTCCGGGGGGGCGGCAGCAGGGCCAGCCGTGCTCTGCTCCAGAGCAGTGGCTTCCTCTCGGGGTGCCAGGCTGGGCGTCTCCTGCTCTGCGCAGGGCCCGGCCCGGCAGCCCCGCACCGCCGCTGGCGTGGGCAGGTGCCGGCAGAGGTCGGCTGGCACGGGCCCCTGGGCCCCAGGTCCCAGGCAGGTGACCCGCCGGTGCTGGATGCCGTGCCCACAGGAGACGGAGCACTGCCAGGAAAAGGTGGAACCGTTGGGCTGTCCCTTACTGCCTGTGGCAAGGACAGGTGACCGCGGGGCACGCGTGGCCGGACACCATCTCCGCACAGCACTGGAGGCAGGCACCCGCCCCCACTCCACAGATGAGACTGAGGCTCAGAGAGGCTGCCTCGCAAGGGTCGCGCAGGGAGGAGGCGCGGGCATTCAGGGTCAGGTCCCCGCCTGCCACGCTGGAGCCTCTGCCTCTCCAAACCCCAACCCCCGAGCAGGCAGCCGGCACCACGGCCTCCCCCCTCATTGGTCAGTCCCGGCGGCCCATCCACCCTGCCCTCCTGCCCTGCACCACCCTCGTCCGAGCCCTCACCTCCCACCACCTTCTGACCGAGGCGGGGGTGACCGTGGACTCTGCCTCGTCCCTGCCCCAGGAGCCAGCCTCCGGGGAGGACCCGGCTCTGTCCACCGCTGTCTTCCCGGCACCTCGAGAGGCACGGGGCTGGGGCGGCACCTGCTTGTCCGGCTGGAACCGGGCTGTGCACCCTTCACCTTCCCATCCCTCCAGACCTCGGTGCCCCCAAGGCCCAGCCGCCTCCACACCTTCGGGTCCCGCCGTTTTCTGCCTCTGGGTGGTCCGACTGTCCCCTCCCCAACAAACCGGGCTCTCCGTCTCCTTTCAGGGGGTCACCCTGGCTCAAAGCCCCCCCCTGGGGCCCCGTGAGCGAGGACCCTCAGCCCCGGCGGCAGTGCCCACCTGCGTCCAGGTGCTGACGTGCCACTGGTGCGTGCAGTCGGCAACCACGCAGGGGATGCTGGCCCGCGGCCGCACCAGAGCCGCGCAGGCCGCCCCGTCCACCTCC